TACCAGTATTCCTGGTTATACATATTTCATTGGTAATTAATAGGTCCAGAGCAACTTGTGGATATGACAGTGGTAGGTATCGAAGGGGGACATTTTTTGCGACCTAGGTGTCCCAAATTCCTACTTGTCTAACTGATAAATAATAATCTATGTTCATTTACTGTTATGTACATAATTATACATACAGATAAATGCAATTTTCCACAACTCGTATATGTGTGGAGATAACTCGTACATGTGTGGAGATAACTCGTATATGTTTGGAGATAACTCGCATATGTTTGGAGATAACTCGTACATGTGAACTCGTACATGTGTGGAGATAACTCGTACATGTGTGGAGATAACTCGTACATGTGTGGAGATAACTCGTACATGTGTGGAGATAACTCGTACATGTGTGGAGATAATTCGTATGTGTGGAGATAACTCGTACACATGTATGGATGTTTTGTACACGTGCACATTTTTCACACTTGCGGGAATACTCCCGACGAGTTTCATACAATATTTGAATGGAATCAAGTTTGCAAACCATCTTCATTCACATTTTTTTGGTCTTAACATGAGTACATATCTTGATTAATATCTGAGAGAATTTTCAAGGTTAGACATTTCAACTCAGTGGTCAAGCTGGCTAATTTTAAGTATTTTCAATGGTTCTCACTTTTATACTGTATTCTACCATGTTTATGTTGTTATATAAATATGTATATAGCTAATAAAGGTAATAATGGATAGTTAGGACAGCTGTCAAAATATCCACGTTTATTTTCAATTACTGAAACACTCTGCCCATAAACACTTACATAAAAGTGACTCCTCTGCAATATATTAAAATTTATTTTTATAATTATATTACCAAACATCTAATATATAAATAATGCTTTACAACACGTCACTTTAATATCTCATAGATTGATTTTTCGTAGAGTCTCACCTACACAATAAACTCCGTCAGTGAGTTAGTCATAATAGTGAGTCATTACGTTATATAACAACACATTCATATTGAATCTTTGTAGTGTGGGTACTGTAGTTTTTCTAGACCTCGTTTCTTCTACCTCTTCCACTGTTCGTATTATCACAATTCTCTCCTATCCTCCAAAGACTAGATAATTTTTGCTACATTATTCTTCACACCAACAGTTTACAATCTACCTTTAAAACATTCAATAAATTAAAGAATATTGAATTCCTCATCAAGCTGTATACAGAGGCTTAAAGTTTACTTTTATACTTTCGTTATATCACATATTTTTGTCGAAAACATTACAATTATAGCGAAGGGAATAAAGTGAATTATGAACAGCGTCCAAGACAACAAAATGGAAAAAAAAATCAAGACGTTTTAAATGACTTTAATTAATAAGCTATGGAAAAATAATCTTGGAATCAATTTAGACATTTCACCCCCCCCCCATCTAGCAGAAATTTGAACAAACTTATAATAAATATAGAAAAATAAAGCAAGATAGAAACGTTGAAAATGGTCAGAGATAAACCTATTTTAAGTTGGTAAAAAAATAAATATTAAAGATACAATGTAGTAAGATTAAAAATGATATTGTTAAATCTGAAATATAAATGTGATATATTAAATGATAAATGTAAAAGTATATTTATAAACGAAAAAAGGGGGGGGGGTAAATTTATTGCACTTAAAAATTAAATTGAGCCTAATAAAACATCCAGAAATTTATTTTGTAAATTATCATAAATACTGAACAAATGAAGCAGTAGCGTCAAGTGAGTTTTACAGAAATATAAAGAATTAAGTTACCCATTCTGAATTATTAATGAGATTTCACGAAAAAAAATTACGGTTAAATGAAAAAAAATGCAAATAGTACCATTATATAACAAAGTTATTTAAACACTGAAGATTATTAAATAAGAGTCAGTTAATAATGACAAAACTGTGTTCTTCAGTGCAGGTGTGAAGATAAATGTTAGCAATGTGGAGCTTCTCGTTTGTAACAAAGATAGAGTGAAAGACGCCTTTGTGGTGCAGTTGTTGGGTCGTGCAGGGATGATGCAACAATCTTAAATAAAGAAGGAAGTGAAGATGCTGATAGAAGTAGGAATAATTGAGAGGATAAATTAATGATGATAATAAGACGTAAAATAAACGGGTGAAAGCACAAATATGTCTCATTAAGATAATTTGTGTAATAGCATTTTATCAGAAGTGGATTAAAAAAAATATGGATGATTATAAGGACTTGGTTATCACCATAAAATCTATTAACTGACTGATTTATAAACAGTTGTCAAAAATATGGATGGTAAAATATTGTATTAAAATTATAAAATAAACTTGTGAATTAAGAAATATTAGTTATGAAGGATTAGAATCACTGGAAAGTCTTTCATTGAAAGACAAAAGAAGGGGAGGATACATTTGTGATGTATATATATAAATTATCAGTGGAAATGAAAACGTAGAATAGGTATATTTGTTGTTGGTAGTATAGTAGTTAGTTAGTTAGTTAAAGAT